CAATAAAGTGGGTAAATTAAGAAATCTCCTCGCGACGGTTGCACCGCGACTCTGGCCTGGTTTCAGAAGAGGCATAGGGACGGGTGCACAAGGAAAAGGCGTGGCGGACAGGGAGGGAAAGCCAATGCAAAGCCGAGAGACAGCCAGACGTCGTTGCCTCAGCGGCAGAGAAACAAAACCACAAAACCAACAAAGTGAGGGGCGAGGCGAGGCGTGCGATAGTAGTGATGTCAGTCTTGCGCGCGCGCGTCACCCCCACACTGACCCTCCGAGACGCAAGGTAAGAGAGAGAGAGAGCCACAATTGAAGTAAGACAATATTAAAAACGCAAAAAAAAAACAACGCGCGCACGTGCTGCGGCGAGGCCAGGGCCGCGAGGCTTTCTCCAGCATTCAGGGGCTTTCTGTCGCGCGCATGCAGGAGAGCCACCCATGACGAGGAGCCCGGCGTGCCTAGGAGGCGTGCCGCGTGCGAACTTGAGCGCGCAGCGCTCCCACACCGATCCATATCGGCCGCGCCGCGCGGTCACATCGTGGTCACATTCACCGGAGGCGACGCCAGGGCAGCAGCAGCAGCGTCCATCATCCTCGGCCGCGCGGGCAGCGCGCCAGGAGGAAGCAAGTCTGCTGGCGCAGCCGCTCTGCTGCATGAGATCACCTTCGCGCGGGGCGGGGCGGGGACCACCCAGCTCCCCCGCGTCCGTCGACAGGCCAGTGTTTCGTCTCGAGGGCGCGGCGTCTGGCGTCTCGTCCGCCTCATGATGCTGCTGACCCGTCCCGCACACGCCCCCTGGGGGGTCAAGGGCGGCGACGAGAGGCAAGACAGACGGCACGACGACACAATCAAAGCCGCCGACGCCGTCCTCATAAAGCTCGGCGTGCATGTGCATCCTATTGTCACCCACCCCCTTGACCAGCCACGAAACCGCCTCGCCTAGGACCCAACTACTTTACCGTTCGCGACACCTCGCTGGAGAATGCTGAAAGCTCCGTAGTTCCGAAACGAGGCTTTCCTCCAGCCCCCCCCCCCCCATCCTTCTCAGGAGGATGAGACGTCCCAGGGGATCATCCAGAAAGTGCGTCTGTCATTCGCCGTCAGGAACCTGCCAAGTTCGGCTCCTACCCTACGAGCTCTCAAAGCGCCTGATAGGTAGACAGTTTCTTGCCTGCAGTGCATGTGTGTATTGCGGGATGGCCTACCCCGAGTCTCGCAGGCGCCGAGCTTCCGTAATTTGTCGATAGATTCTTGGAAAGAAACGGACATACTTTCTGGACGATCTCTGAGTCTGTCAGCCCGTTTCAACCACCCCAGCCGATTTGACGCTTTCAACTTCTTGTGTAGAAGTAAGGACGTTTTTTTTTTTCAAAACACTACTGAACTCCCATGTTAAAACTACGCGTAAAATGCAGGAAAGTGATGCTCGGCCTGGCGTGCTCTCAGTCAGGTTCACCGACCTGCCTTGGCGGGAGAGGCCGCCCTGCGCGCGACAGCTGCTGCTGCTGCTGTTGTACTCCAGGCAGCACCGCAGGCTGTACCACCGCAGGCTGTACCACCGCAGGCGGGGCTCGGGCTCATGAGCCGTGGTGCTGCCGCCGCGGTGCAGCGGGCTCACTAGCGGAGTGTACCGCACCGCGGCCTGGCCGGCAGTCCAGGCAGGCAGGCAGCTCGCCTGGCGGGTCACGGCCGCAGCGTAACTGTCGTCACAGCCGCACTGCCCGGCCGGGGCCCGCGGCCCGGCTACTGCTGGGGCCGCCAGTCACATGTGCGTCAAACGTCCACGACATGTCACACCTTTCGTCACGTCGCGTCACGCGCCGTGTCACTTCCCCAATCGCGACGCCGGCACGACGCCGCCTTTCTCCGAACCGTGACGACGACGTTCGGTCGGCCACACGGCGTCAACGCATGCGCGCCGCAGCCCGGTTGCGTTGGAAATCGACGTGTACGAATGTCGCTTGTCTGCAGGTGGGAGAAGAGATTCACACAACTGCAGGTGTGCGACAAAACATTCCCACACTTGAAGGAGTGCGAACAGAGATTCGTCCGCCTGAAAAGCCAGCCATTTACCACCCCCAAAATGTGTGAATAGACATGCACAAATCTGCAGGTGTGTAACATTCGTACACTTGCCCAAATCAGCGGGCGCCGAAAGTGTGGAAAATGCAGCGGCGGCAGGGGTCCTCCGCGCCGCATTGCGCAAGCCCATTGGCGCGGCCGCCGTGTTTTCTCGGTGACCTCTGCACCCAATAGGAATCGTGCTTATGCCAGGTGAAGGGGGAGGGGGGCACGCTCCCCGCGCCCCTCACGGCCCCGCCCTACGCCTCAGGTTCCAGCGCCCCGCCCTCACACACCACACACAAACACGAGTGTGTATGTAGTTACAAAAATTAACCCGCACTTTATAGCCACACGCAATACACAATAACAAACCCGTAGCCCAACTCTGTGGCAAAAACAGGTACAAAACTAACATTCTCGCAGCGACGACAAAACAGTTCCCGCGAGTACACCGCCGTATAAAAAACACACACACACACACACACACACACACACACACACTAACCACTTTCCTGCTCCGCCCCAGCGCCGCGCTCTGCTCTACAGATAAAACCAGCAGCGCCCGGGGTTCACAGTCTCCAGGCCACGCTCCCCCGCCCTCCCCGCGCGACCGTAGAGCACTGCCCTGCCCTACTGTGGCAACCCCGCGCTGTTGGCGGCCGCGCCACGCCGCCGCCGCCGCCCCCAGGGGCGCCCATATCGTTGGCCTGAACCACCACGTGAGCCATGGTTAGCATCACGCCCCGCCATCTCTCCGCCCCCCGCCCTCCAC